AGGCTGGTTGGTTTTTCAAGTTTGAAAATATGGTGATTTAAAAAGTGCAAATTCAGAAATAAAATGTGTACAAAATTTTCAATTTGAGGATTTGGGAACTTAAGAATGATTATCATATAACTAACCTTGAATTCATATAATTAGAATGTAATACAATTGAGTATTAATATAAAATCATAATTAATACAAAAATTATTTAAAATATTTTCGAATCTAAATTTCTGAAAACACACAAATAATTTGTAATAAACTATGCATTTATAAAAAAAAATTATTTGGAGGTTATATCATTAAAACGAACAAATAAAATTTTAAGTAAAATAAGTATCTTAAGACAAACGAATAAAATAATAGTCCTAAAAGTTCAATAATAGATTATTCGAAGCCTACCAGTAAGTCTGAGCGTAAGAGTTATCGGCTAGTTAAAAAATGCGAGCTCTTTATTGATTTCTGGCTGAAGCTGCGTTTTCATGTTGAGGTCACAGTAATTTTTGTCTAGACGAAAAGGATTTATGTATGGCCGTAACAAATTACTGTAGCAGCAACGACAGTCAAAACATCAATTTACTTATCGAAAGTGAATTTATAACTGTCGTTTCATCATTTACTTACATTTTCTGACAGAATTCTAAATATTTTCTTTCGGCGAAGTAATAAATCGGAACGATACGGAAGAGATTCGATCTTATTTTGTGTGTCGCCATAATTTTGCAGGAATCGTTGTCACATTACAATATCTGCATTGCACAATTTTTTTGCATTGTTTTCCTCGTGTGACTCGCAGTCATTATAATATTTGTTATAAGGAAGTGGATAAGATTCTGGGTAATTCCTAGTAAATCTAGTAATTTATTAAGATGTCGGTAATACAATCGGGGATGAATCTAGATGAAAATGTGACAGTTATGAAATCTTAAAATAATTTGTGAAAACTAGTTTACAAATCTTCAGATCTTCACATTTTTTAATTTGCACGTTTACTGGTTTACAAAATTATAAATCTATTTTACAAGCGGATGAAACTATAATTAGACTGACTACCTCTTCAAAATTTTAGCATATAAATCATAAAAAAAATTTTAAATAATATAACAAAAGATTCAAAAATTTATTCAAACTCGGACAACAAATCATAGGTATAAAAACCTCGCAACAGGATGTGGTTTCTCATTTTGACAGTATTAAATTAAAGTCTAAACGATTTAAAATGAAAAAATTTTTATCGTTGAAAAAAGTGAAAAATTTGATACAGGAAATGCGTAAAATGTCATTTAAGATTTAATACTTTTCTGGCTTTTAGATTTTCTTATTTTCCTGTATAAACTGATTGGAAAATAACAGATGGTCACGTGGCATGTTAAGTTTTTCTAAGAAGATCATCAAAATGCAGGGAAAATTACCAGCAGGAATATTTAGTAGTTCTAATGAAATTTCGTAATGATATTTTTTTGGAAATGCTTTGAAATTACAATAGATAATTTTCTGCTAAATACATTAATCCCCATGAACTGAAATTATATTAAATAACATAAATTATATTAGTTTTATATTAGTATAAATTATATTACTAATAATATTAGTAGATAAGTACCATAATTTATATTAAGTCCGTAATCGATGAATTATTTTGATAAAATGTTCGACCACTTTTTACTCGAACCGTGAAGTGTTTCCTAATACGTCTAAAATGGCGGGATGTTCAAAACGTTCGTTCCGCATAGTCCACCTCGTATTTTCAATCCGATCGTACGCGTCCCTGTTAAGTAAAATCATCAAATATTATCGCATTTAGAAATTATATCAATAGTAATTTCCAATAGTTTTTGCTTGAAATATACCCAGCTCTGTCCACCGTGCGCCGATTATATATAAAGGGAAGACAGTAACAAGAACAGAGTCGAAGAAGTTCGTATCTCGGTGGCACAACAGTCGTATACATTGGCGAGAGCATTGCCAGCAGCTATCAGTATTAGTTCGACCGTCCTCGTGTGCACATCGAAGCCGTGCCACGCGACACCGTTACCGACGATTTTATAAAACGAAACTTGTCGGCTGTTTACACGCTCAGGAACCGTTGGAACCGTTTCTCGTGACATTCCGAACACGCGCGTAGAAGGTGAACTCACGATGATTTCGAGCGAGATTCTAAACGCGAGTGTCGAGTGAACGCGTCGATTCTGTCACTTCCTACGATCGATCGATCCAGAACTATATTAATAACCACGTTGTTACAACAGTGTAGCATCAAGTTCTTTCGGATTCGAACTTTTTGGACTCACAGACAAAAAGTTTGCGGATACGTTACGTAAAAGTGCCACGATGCGACGCAAAGATAAACAATCGAATTAAATTAAATTTCACCCGCGTAATTCTTTCCGGATGCATCTACCGTAATCCATCCGAAGTAAGTCATTCGTGAAGCCGTATCAAATAACAGAATTTCTTTTTCCATCACCGTTCGGCTGTCAACGAACGTCGAGCACATGTTTGTTTTTCGCAACGCTTCGGGCGTAAACAAAACATTCGTCAACTTGTGAGTGACCGGTCATTGGTACCGGAAATTGTTTTCGACGCGGCGTTGAAAACGGACCAGAAATTGTCGTGTCACAGAAACGAACTGGAATCGAAGTTGGACAGTTTGGAAGTCTATATAATAGAGTGTTTAAAATCGCGTGAAATGTGCTGTTTCCTTGCATCCATGTCGGCGACCAGATTTCGCAGGACGTCGAAAAGTCGCTCGACAGGACTCGACCTAAAATAAGAAATAATTGTATTTACAACTTCGTGAAATTGGCGACCTCTTTGCAGAGTGAAAATAAAAAGATTGGAGGAGTTAAGAGTGGATAAACATTGTAATGTTTGTTGCAATGGATGTGTCGGAATCAAGACCGATCCAGTTATAATAATTCGTACCGAATTGATTAATGTCGAGTGTTATTTGATCTTGGATAGATTTATCTACACTAACAGAAAATTTTATCGCGTACGTGAAACTATTCTCATTTGATATTGTGAAATTGAACGTGATATGTGACACTCGGTGAATGTTTTGGCACACGAAAGAAACTTCCTGATACTTTTAAGGGTTTTTTCCGACATTGTGTCATCTTTGTCAGGATTAAAAGAACAGGTGTCGCCGAGTCATGGTACGTTTTCTCATCTTTTGTTATCTTTGATTCAATGTCATTATCATTGCCCGTAAAAATGCTATATGATTCGTGAATTATCTTCTGCAGAAAGTGAAGTTTAATTTAACGAACACATTTAGCAGACGTTCACTGTTAAAGCAACATTCACCGAAGCATTTGTGGATCTTCACGAAGTTTATTTTTAAGTCAACTACAATCTGAAATGGGCGCGCTATTTGAATGATGAATAGTAAATATCGTATGAAAGGACTGATTATTTGCAATGTAATTTTGTCGATCAAATATTCTAATAACTTGTATCAAATGTCTTTTGAAACATTTCAGAGAATAGTATTGTTTCTTTGTCGGTATAAAGTATTATAAATATTAATTCCTTATAGCAATTCCAGTTTGATAAAGAACTCAATCTTAAGATAATTTTAGATTTGAAAATTACGGGAGATTTAAACGATACATCGGTTAAACGGCAATGATAAGACAAAAATCTATAATTGATAAATGGATCTATACACAATTTCATGATTAAAGAATATCGCAGATGCAATAAAAAATGATGTATCTCTGATAATTTTTTAAGAACAGATCTTTCGAATTGGCAGTAAATGACAAATTATTTGATACTTTGAAATAAAACGATAAAAAATTATTTTTATTATTACATATATTTTTATTAGTAAATATTATAGGCATCTATAGATATATTATTTAAATATAAAACTGTATAATTATAAATTTATATAAACCATGTTCAAATATAAAACTTATTAAAAAAAGAAACAAATTAATTGTGAAATAATATTGCAATTATAATATTAAATTATTGTAATAATATTATTTTGTGACTGAGAAAGAAAGTTAATAATTGAAACAATTAGTGACGGTTTACTAATAAAAATCAAATTATTATTGTCATTGGTAATTCATTATTAGTAAAAGACGCTAATGTTAAGAAAACAAATAGCAATTTTTCTTGTCACTATTGTTATCAATTGTAGAGTATGAATGATTCATGATTTAGAATAAAATATTAGTATATAAAATAAAACTTTTGAACGTTTTCATTTGTACAGTCTTATCTAGCTTTTGTGTATTATAATGCATTGTCTTCGATATCTTTTACTGATAATATTAATTCCATTTTCACGTGCTCTGTACTTCCCTATGTTTTGTCGATATCTTTGCTCTTATCTTCAAGATTCGGAGTACGTACTCTATATATTAGCACAGTTCATTATTATTTCTATATTCATTACTACACTTTGTCAATATCAAAAATTAGTAATTTTCCATTTAATGTATACGTAATTTCATTTTCTACGTTAACTTGGATACAATCTTTTGTAAAGTTTTATAATTATTGAAAATCATTTAAAAATTAATTTAAATGTATAAATCATAAATAGTCAAACTTCAATTTTATTTTTAAAATAATTATTTCTTATAAATTCATATTGTAAAATTTCAAATGCATTAAAATTAAAAAGAAATTGAAGTACACACCATTTAAATCAACCAAAGTGAATACATGTTACAATAATTACGCATTAAAATTAAATTTCAATAATGAAGTATTTGTCATCTTTCAGACTAAAAATAATTAATTATTTATAAATTATTTTAATTAGTTCCTGCAATGTACCATTTACTTATTAATATTGTAATTGCAATTAACATCTCAGTTTTTTATTTAACAATTTTATCAATTTCTAGCAATATTATAATTTCAGATTTTTTTAAATAATTTAAAAAAGAAGCGAATTAAATTTTATTCATCTTCATATTCAAATAATTTATTCGTATTACTTATTATTCATACATGTATTTATATTAATGAAAACAGTCGATAAGAAATGTATTCTGGTTATTATTTCATCATTCAAGTTATGGAAATATTTTTGTACACATTAAATATTGACATACATGTCACGTAAAAGAACTAAAAATTAGTATAAAGTTGAAATTCTTATTTCTTCAATTATGTTCATGTATTTAACTCAATATGCGTCAATCAGAACATTTATGTTGAGTCATACTAATTATCTCCTTCACACGAGATGAACATCAGCGGTTTAAAGTTAATAATTGAAGATTAATCGTTAAACGAAACACGTGGTACCACGAGTTCGTTCTCCTTGCGTACTGATAACGAAGGTTCATAGTTTCCCGGTCAAATGTTGGTCATTTCTTTGATAAACGTTGTTGAACTGTCATACGGAAGAAAACACGTGGATCACAGCTTCCTGGAACGGAATCGTCACAGCTTCTGAATACAATTTCAATTAGTTTAATTAAATGACGTGTTGAATCAACGGGATACAAACCATTACTGTCGTGTAATACGAGTCGATGTGTATAAAGAGATTAGTAGAGTGAAATTTATTCTATAGTTGATTCATCGCTGTAAATATTGTGCATGATAGGAACGTGGTCCGTGGGTGAAAATAGAAAGGCGATTATCGATTATCGATGACATATCGATACTCTATCGATATTTAACAATATCATTTCAATATTGTTAAGATGTCGTTATTACGAGTAGATATTTTGAAATTTAGAAAATCTGAAATTTGAAAATTACAAAATTTTGAAAATTTAGAAATTTTGTTTTTTTGGGGGGGAATTTTGAGAAATTCGGAAATTTGGGGATTTTGGAATTTGGAGATTTTGGTATTTAGGAATATTGGAAATTTTGAAAATTTGGATTTTGGAATTTTGGAATTTTGAAATTTTGATATTTTGATATTTTGGAATCTTGAAAATTTTTACATTTTGGAATTTTGGCAATTTTGGATTTTGAGAATTTTGGGATTTGGGAATTTTGGGATTTGGGAATTTTGGGATTTGGGAATTTTGGGATTTGGGAATTTTGGGATTTGGGAATTTTGGGATTTGGGAATTTTGGGATTTGGGAATTTTGGGATTTGGGAATTTTGGGATTTGGGAATTTTGGGATTTGGGAATTTTGGGATTTGGGAATTTTGGGATTTGGGAATTTTGGGATTTGGGAATTTTGGGATTTGGGAATTTTGGGATTTGGGAATTTTGGGATTTGGGAATTTTGGGATTTGGGAATTTTGGGATTTGGGAATTTTGGGATTTGGGAATTTTGGGATTTGGGAATTTTGGGATTTGGGAATTTTGGGATTTGGGAATTTTGGGATTTGGGAATTTTGGGATTTGGGAATTTTGGGATTTGGGAATTTTGGGATTTGGGAATTTTGGGATTTGGGAATTTTGGGATTTGGGAATTTTGGGATTTGGGAATTTTGGGATTTGGGAATTTTGGGATTTGGGAATTTTGGGATTTGGGAATTTTGGGATTTGGGAATTTTGGGATTTGGGAATTTTGGGATTTGGGAATTTTGGGATTTGGGAATTTTGGGATTTGGGAATTTTGGGATTTGGGAATTTTGGGATTTGGGAATTTTGGGATTTGGGAATTTTGGGATTTGGGAATTTTGGGATTTGGGAATTTTGGGATTTGGGAATTTTGGGATTTGGGAATTTTGGGATTTGGGAATTTTGGGATTTGGGAATTTTGGGATTTGGGAATTTTGGGATTTGGGAATTTTGGGATTTGGGAATTTTGGGATTTGGGAATTTTGGGATTTGGGAATTTTGGGATTTGGGAATTTTGGGATTTGGGAATTTTGGGATTTGGGAATTTTGGGATTTGGGAATTTTGGGATTTGGGAATTTTGGGATTTGGGAATTTTGGGATTTGGGAATTTTGGGATTTGGGAATTTTGGGATTTGGGAATTTTGGGATTTGGGAATTTTGGGATTTGGGAATTTTGGGATTTGGGAATTTTGGGATTTGGGAATTTTGGGATTTGGGAATTTTGGGATTTGGGAATTTTGGGATTTGGGAATTTTGGGATTTGGGAATTTTGGGATTTGGGAATTTTGGGATTTGGGAATTTTGGGATTTGGGAATTTTGGGATTTGGGAATTTTGGGATTTGGGAATTTTGGGATTTGGGAATTTTGGGATTTGGGAATTTTGGGATTTGGGAATTTTGGGATTTGGGAATTTTGGGATTTGGGAATTTTGGGATTTGGGAATTTTGGGATTTGGGAATTTTGGGATTTGGGAATTTTGGGATTTGGGAATTTTGGGATTTGGGAATTTTGGGATTTGGGAATTTTGGGATTTGGGAATTTTGGGATTTGGGAATTTTGGGATTTGGGAATTTTGGAATTTGGAATTTGGAATTTTGGAATTTGGAATTTTGGAATTTGGAATTTTGGAATTTTGGATTTTGGAATTTTGGATTTTGGAATTTGGAATTTGGAAATTTTTGAATTTTAGAAATTTTGGACTTGAAATTTGGGAATTTAGAATTTTGGAAATTTTGAAATGTTGGATTTTGCAAATTTTTAAATTCTTGTATTTTGGAATTTTGAAAATTTTGACATTTTGGAATTTAGGAATTTGAAATTTATGAAATTTTGAAATTTGGAAATTGGAGAATTTGGGAACTTTGGAAATTTGGAATGTGCGAATTAACGAATTTAGAAATTTTGATATTTTGTAGTTTTGGAATTTTTAAATTTAATAAATTTGTAATGTGCAAATATCACTTATATCTGTTTAAAGTCTGTATCTTTAAAAAATAATCGCAGGAATGTTTCAAGGGTACAAATATAAATTGGTTAGTTTCGACTGCATTGTACATAAAATTCAATAAAATACTGCACGTCACTTAAACAGACATAGATATAAACATACTGTTTAATGTTAGTTAAGTCTTACGGAGTTTTATAAACGTGTTTCTTTTATTTTCTGTTTGATTCTGATTCCGATTCTCTATGATTCGTTTGCGATCTAAAACGTTCCTTTGCAGCAATGCGTAAACGTGTGATCTCTTTTGTACCGTATTCGCTCAGAAAGCAGTTATTGAAACTTGTATGTACCTTTTGTCCCTTTGGAAGGTGTAAATGCTTCAGACTGAGCATTTGTTGCACCTCTTAGACTCTTTCAATAGTTACATCATGTTTTTCAGAATTTTTTACTTCCTCTCAGTTTTTGTCCTTTCATGTACTTCAAAATCATAGAGTTTTCTTTTTATAGAAAAAGTCTTTCACGTCGCAGCAACTATGTATTATGTGTATGTTAAAAATATATATTCTGATATAACTCACAGTTTTTGCTTTTATTGGAGATATATTTGTGGATAATTTATCGGAAAACACTTAATATACTAAATGATGATAAAAATATGGTGATTTGTAAGGGTGATTAGTAACATGGTGTTTGATGTATAAAGGAGGAATTTTTTTTACATTTTATTCATGGGACACCTTTATTTTAATTATTACTTACAAACACAAATCCAAATCCAAATTAAAAAACTTTTAAATTTCGGTGAAAATGAACAATCCTTCAGGTGATATTTACGAGTGTACTTTTAATAGCGTTAAAACATCGCTCACTTAGACTATTATACGAGCAAGATAGCGAAAAAAGATAGCTAATTACTGGACACGGTAAGCTGTAAAACGTCTTGTTCGCAGTGCGTTAATTAGGTAGTTTATGAACATCTACAGTTGCGGACAAAAGTTTTCAAATAATACCGATTTTTCTATTTCATCTTTATAAATAATTTTTTTTCGAAAACTTTTGTCCTTAAGTGTACAGAGTACATTACAAAATTAGTAATATTGATTTGATTAGAATAAATGTATTGTAGATATTCGCACAATTTACTATTCTTTGAAATAACACCCTCCTGCGTTAATACGTCATAGCGAGTCTGCCAATGCGCATGCGTGTACTGGAAATTTTTAATGGAGTTGCTCCTCAATTCACGCGTTGCATCCTTTTGCTGCTGTTGGTTTAAAGCGATGTCTTTTTATCTACCTTTTTAATCGAGGAAAAAGGAAAAGTCAGATGGAGTTTGACATCTTAAAACTGCAAGTTGTAGTTTTCCTAATTTCTCAAACTTGTGTATCAACAGAATTTCATTATTTTGGTAATGTTTGCGATGTAAATGTTCAGAAACGACTGAGCACGCATTCTGTTCGCGACTTCCCCCACCACCATTCCCACCAATAGAGGCCCTTTTCTATGCCCCGCCCAGATTATAAAGAAACGGTAATACTTTTGTAACACACCCTGTACTTAACAACTTAACTCTTTAAATTTATTTGCGTCTCAATTCAGACAAGATTTTTACGGATTTGAAGGGTTCATTTGTAACACCTACGAAGAAAAGAAGGACTTCGTAAATCTGATTAACATTGAACGGCTCCGTTCGAATTGCATAACGCCTATTCCACCTTCTTCTTTTAATCGTTAATGCAATTAAGGTAATAGCGAGTAAGCTTTTCCCGCGACGTTGGCTTAAATTCTACGCGGAAAAGGCTTAAAAGCTTGAAGAGATGAATTTAGCTCGCACAATGGATGTTCCACTGCCAAGTTTACGGGAAATTTTGCCGGGCAAGTAGCGGCTATTTTACCGCTTCCTTATTTTTGTAATTGGCAAGTACTATAAGCGCGGGCTCGTTCATTTTCTGCGTGTTTCGTTGCCGTATTACAATTGTGGACACTGTACAAATTACACCACTTAAAATGATTCTTCTATGAACGTATAAAGGTAAAATTATTCTGAAATTGACGTTAAATTTTTGTGGTTTTTTTTTTACAGCAATTATTGTAAAAAATGTTATAAATGTTTAGAAGGAAAATTTGAGAAATATGTAGAGATGTAAGTGGAACAAAGATTTTATTTAAAAATGACGAATGTCTCGTATAATGTTGATGTAATACGGACGCGTTCATTTTAGACGGGAAACGGAAGTGAACATTTTCCCGCCATTTTTCAAACGACTCGAAGTATTATTTCGTTCTGAAATATTGCTGTTTTCTTAAAAAATTATTCAATTTGAGAAAAATTAATTGTTTTGTATACTTAAATAATTATCGTTTTTTGAAGTTAACTTTGTGAATCGATTCTAATAATATTTATTTATAATAATATCTATAGTATAAAATTATATTTATAATATTTACAGTTTCTTATCATATTTATTGATTTTACAGTTCTTTATTAATTACAAAATGTAATTTAGAATTCTTGTTCTATAGAATTAATAATTTATTTAACTTCTATTTATATATTTATTTATATTTATTGGTTTAAACACGAATTCACGTGTGGGTCGTTTATTAAGAGAGCATGAGACTCGCACAAAAAGTAAATCGCCCTCTTCCTTGATGTTTAAATAGAGGTCACGGTTAAACCTACAATTATTTTGAGAGATTAAAAAGAGTCATAACTTCGCATTTCCTCTTTGCTGTCTTCAGATCTTGCCGACGGTTAAAGAAATCGATGGTCCTTTACTCGAAATGCTGATTTCTTAAATATATAAAAATAATTGGGAATATTTCTAATACTTACTAAATTCTTTAATTTTCAAATTGACGAAATTGTACATTTTCAAGCATTTCTAAGGTAAAATTCCCAAATTTGGAAATTTAAAAGTTTTGAAAATTCTTGATTTTAAAAATTTAAAAATTTCAAGACCCCAATTTAAAAATTTCTAGATATACAAATTCTCAAGTTTTTAAATTTTCAAATTAAAAAATTAAACAATTCCCAAGTTTTCAAATTCTGAAATCCCAAAATTGAAAAATTAAAAAATTCCAAAAACCCAAAATTTTTAAATCCCTAATGTACATAATATTCAGTTCATATGTCCTGTTATATTATGAACATAAAACAATAATAAAGTTGTATACTAAGTCATTGTTACAATTAATCTTACATCCCTCGCAATTGGCCGCAATGTGCTCTCAATGTATTCTCGATGACTTGCAAATTGCAGTTAATATATTCTCTTTCATTCTAACAGTTCGTACCATACCTTTGTACTTTTCTCTATGTCTTAGTTCTTAATTTTCCAATTTTTTCATTTCCAAGTTTTCAAATTGTTAAATTGTCAAATTCACATATTGTCAAATTGTCAAATTATCAAACTGTCAAATTGTCGAATTGTCAAATTGTCAAATTGTCAAATTGTCAAATTGTCAAATTGTCAAATTGTCAAATTCTCAAATTCTCAAATTCTCAAATTCTCAAACTTTAAATTACCAAATGATCAAATTCAAAATTCTTATTTCTCAACTTTGTATACCTACCTACATGCACATCAGCATATTTCTCTATCTCTATCTTTTTATATCTCTATACCTCTACATGTATCTCTGTATATCCCCATATCTCCATATCTCCATATCTCCATATCTCAATAACCTTACATCATTAGATGTATCCCTATATCTTTACAATTCTATATTTTTATATCTCTATATCCCTATATCCCCAAACCTTCAACCTTCAAAACCTCCAACCCTTTAAACCTCCACATCCCTAAATTCCCATGCTCCTACAATCCATACTTCTACATTCTTACATGTATATCTATTTACATATATGTATATTTAATCCCCATATCTCCATATTTTAATATCTCGATAGCTCCATATCTCCCTATCTGTAAGTCTCTGTTTCAAATATCCAAATCCCTCAGATCCAAAATCCCCAACTCCCCAAGCTCACAAATTTCGACACAATTTGCAAAATGTGCAAAATATACCTAATAAATATAGAAGTTTCACATGCACTCGCGATCATAATATGCATTCTATTTTTTTCCTTATTTCGTCATTTGATATGGACGCAGCTAGCTCGTGTTTACGTTAAAGTTACAATGTTGTTCACATCAGATATCGATTTTTACTTATAAAACAGCGATGAAATTTCATCGTTAACTTTCGAACACCCTCTATGAGTTCATATCTGCAATCAATATTCTGTACTTCTATGTCAAAGTCAAGCCAGATCTATACCGTGAAAGTACGTGCACAGTTAAATAATCAAAGCTGCGGCACGTGTTTTATGTAATTTATTAAATAATCTCTGGAATCAGGAGAAACATAACAAGATCCTATTATTACATAAATAGTAAGAGGATAAATAAATAAAGGTGATCGCTAAAGTCCGACCCCATCATTATACTTCAGAAACAGCTTTAAATACGTAAAAATGTGTCAGACAAAAGTTGTAGGACGTCGAAAGGGATATAACGTGGTAGCAACAATTTAACCTTGGATGGTAGTTTGAAGGTCGCGTGAACATCTTCAGTTTCTTAGAACCTCCATTTTTTATTACATACTCTTGTAGCCCTCGTTTTCAAAACACCTATGTTTATTTTTTATGCAAGTTACTCTCAAGATATGAAGCTTCAAAGTTGACACACAAGTAAATCTGATCGAGCAACTTTCGCGCGGTACCTTAGGTAATGTTAATACCGACGTATGTCAACTTTGGAGCTTCATATCTTGGGAATAACTTGCACAAAAGACAAACATAGGTAATATTTTAAAAACGTCTCGAAACCTACAAGAGTATGTAATAAAAAATGGGGGTTCTATTTAAGAAACTGATGACGTTCACGTGGCCTTCGAACGACCAACAAGGTCAAATTGTTGCCACCATCTTACGCCTCCCTTGATATACAACTTTTGTCTGAAACATTTTTCCATATTTGAAGTTGTTAAAGGGTGGGACTTTAGTGACCCTATATGCATATTCATTTACACAAATGTGTATAAGCATTGTTATTATTATGTTTCAGTTTTTTACCCAGGAATTTTAATACAGAATTGAACTCTGAATAGAAATGAATTTTTGGTATTTTATTTTTATATTGGTATAAGCTCTTTTGAATGTATGCGAATTATCTTTGATTCTTCGTGTGTTACGAAGTGAATCGATTAAATGAAGTATGTATGTGTACTTCATAATCAGATAGAGAATTTATAAATCCTCATGCTAACAGAATCTGATAATTTTGAAATATTTGCGGCGATACTGAAAATTTCTTATCGGAGTTTCAAATTTGTAATATTTAATTAACTTATCAGTTTTAGAAAATTATTGGAGAAAGCTGCATGTGGTGGCTTTGGTAGTTTGTTATTTTCAAATAACTACATTTCTAAGTTTCTAAATTTCCAAATTTCCAAATATCAATATTTTCAAAATTCCAAACTGCTAAAATTTTCAAAACCCAAAATTTCTAAACTTCCAAAGTAGCAAATTAGAACGTTATTCTATTATCCTTATTTTACTAACATTATTAGCAAATTACACTAATTCGCATTATTATGTAGACCACAAGTGACAGATAAGTGCAATCGCAGTATAGTAAGCAACGCACCTAATTAAAGAATATTCGCAATACAATAATGAGCACGTAATAACGGCGTTTTACAAAAACTCGGGACAAAAGGTGGGTGCAATAAAACAAAAGGCGTACACGTATATGACTAGCCATTATGCACGGTCGTACAAATATAGACGTAAACTAGGTTTTATCCTTCTACATATGTGCTGCTTATTTTGAAAGTAGAACAGGTCCCTTTTTGAAAATAACGAAGATGATAACAATAGATAGAACTTAAATATATTTTTATCTTTAATAAATCTATGTATATACATATAGTGAAAACAGTTCAAATTCTCTGATATTTGGGCAATGAAAGTTTGACTGACTAACGGTATAACAGTGTTTGTTTTGAAAGTGGTACAAGGTACAGGTCCACGTTAGGTTTAAATTACTTTTAGAATATATTACGGTACAATTTAGCTTCGGTTTTGAATAATACTTTCAGTGAAGGTATTAATAATAATATATTATTATACAGTGTGTAGTGTAATACAATAATACCTTGCGTAAAGAGTTTAAAATTATCAAATTTATCAACATGGTCCATAGGTGTACATACATATTGCATTAAACAGAAAATTATACTAGGTTTAATATTTCTATACATACAATGTGCTATATAGTAAATTATACTAGATTTGATATATCTGTACGTGTGTTGTATCATGCAGTAAATGAAGGTTTAATGTATCTTTATGAATAAAGTACATTATACATTCAATTATATTAGACTTAATATTTCTATCAATACAGAGTATTATACAGGGTGTCTCACAACTAGTGTAAGTCTTTGAAATGGAGGATAGCTGACGTGATTCTGAATAAGATTTCCCTTTGCAAAACTAGGGTTTGAAGCTTCGTTTTTGAATTATTAAGGAAAAAGACGGACCAATCAGAGCGCGAGGATTAAACGTGCGCAGACGCGAGAATGGCAGCTTCGGATAACGCGTAGTTATCCAACGCATGGTAATCCAACGCGTAGTAATGCATCGTGTGGTAATGCAACGCGTGGTAATTCAATGCGTACTAATACAGCGTGTGGATATCCAACGCGTAGTAATCTAGCGCGTGCATATTCTACGCGTAGTAATCCAACGCGTAATAATGCAACGCGTGGTAATTCTAAGCGTAG